TATGAAACAAATAATTTGGTTCTAAATGATAATTGGTACTTGTTGCTTTTTGCCAGGTTAACACGAGGAGACAGGAGCTGATTCTATTCAACTCTACCAAGACTTATGAGAATATCAATGTAAATCTACACAGAGGATAGTTTAATGTATAAATTGTACAATTAGAAATATTTTTTAAAGGATAAGAGCCAGTTTTGCTTTGTTTTACATAATAGAAAAATATACTAAAGGAAGAAGGTCTAAAACGAATTTTTTCCAAATTTATTATTGTTGATTTATTATCAACAAAAATTATAATCTATGAATGCTGAACGTTCTAAGTTTAATTCTCTCAATTTTACATTTTTTAAAATCACCGTTTTATGCAATCTTCCAAACTGAAACCTCTTCCCTTCAGTACTAAAAACCTGCATTTGAACTAAGGACTTTACTCTTCAAAGAGCAAGACTCTACCTCACTCCCCTCTGGGATTATATGCTTATTCTAGTAAATTCAAATCAAACAGGTAAGATTTCAGGTTCCCATCTATACAGAAAGAGGCAGACAAAAAGTAGACCTTCAGTCTTCAAGGTATAGAATATTAAAAATCTAAATGGTTTCATACATCAATTTTGTGTTATTTGTGAGACAACAAAAAAACTGAATCATTAAAGGGTTTTTAACAATTCTGAGTCATGCAATTTAAGTGACTGGAGGGGCAAATCAATCAGCAGTATATGTAAACACTGAAAGAGCATACAGCAGGGTTCTCTCTAGTTCCCCATTTTTCAAAGAAAATTACCTTTGAAGTTAAAACATCATGAATAAAAATCAACAAAAAAAATAGTTTTTGGCTAATTTCAAAATAAGGATTGTACTAAAATGTCACCAATTCATTAAAGAAATGGATATTTTCAATTCAGGTTGGCATTACTTAAAAGTACTCGCTGTTATAATTCAGTAAAAGTCTGACAATGATCGAAGTTTAAAGTCCAGGAATAAAGGGGAAAACATACAGGCCTAAGTTCTCAAAACTGAAGAAGGACCAAGCAAACACACACTTCAGTATATTTATAGCCAAGTTAGAACACATCTGTTTTGAAATTTAAAAATTAAATAAGCTTATATTTTAATGCTAATAGATAAATCATATAAACTGATATTTTTTTAATCACTGTTTTGAACATCAACAGTACATTTCATTTTCCCCCCTGTAACCTATGGACTTTCTCAGATTCAAATATACAATCAATGAAAAATACTTTAAAATCTCTGATTATTAGAAACCAGGGAACATTTAATGTTCCTGAGATTTGTGACGAACTCAAATGAGACATAAAAATGAAGCTTTGAAGAGATTAATGATTAACAGTTCAAATTCACTATGGATCATTAATACTACTTATAAAATTCTATTAAAAGCTAAAATAATGGTACTATTACTATGATGACAAAGACGATAATTTATTAGGCCTGTACTTGAGGCCAGGAACTAATTAAGCACTTTCCATAATCCAATCCTTAAAACATTGTAAGGCGGGTATTACACCCATATTCCAGATGGGGATAATTGAGGTAAGAGGTTTAAAGAACTTGTCAAAGGTTACAAAACTTAATGGTCAAGAACCAAACCCAGATTTGATTGAGTCCAAACTATTAGGTACTTACCCACGTGCTATGATGCTTCCCCACGAAGCAAACATTTAACAGAATTTGTTGTATAAGCTACCATTATCAAAAAGTAGGGCAGGAACTTAGACATCCCTGTAGCTCTTTCTCAAAGGAATTATAATATTATAAAGAACTTTATGTGGATGAAAAAAAATTACAAGTAACTGTTCTTGCGAAAAAGAAAAAACTATGCTAACTAGGCCATATTTATAGGAATACGCTTAATGATGAAATAGCATGCCCCACTTTTAATAAAATATTTACACATTTACATACAAATAGACCAAAAATAAAGGGCAGTGGGTTGTCCTGTGCTAGAGAAGTAGGAACATAAAAAACTCTACTGGACTAGTGTTACCATATTTTAAAATATACTAAGATTTGGAACCTTGAGGTCACAAAAAGACAAATACTAAATGATTCCATTTACATGAGCTATCTAAGTAGTCAAATTCATAGAATCAAAGTAGAATGGTGGTTACCAGGGACTGGGAAAAGGGAAGATGGGGAGTTGTTTGATGGGTACAGAGTTTCAATTTTGCAAGATGAAAAAGTTCTGGAGATGTGGTGCATAACAATGTGAATATGCTCAACACTACTGAACTGTACACTTAAGAATGGTTAAGATGGTTAAAAAGAAAGATTTGGTACTAATACATAAATAGCCATAAACAGATATACATCACTAGACTGGTCCTGCTGCACTTATATGGTAGTTGCTAGTCACACGTGACTATTAAAATTTACATTAATTAAAAAAAATTAAAACTATTTCCTCAATCACACTAGCCACAGCTCAACTGCTCAACAGCCATATGTAGTTGCTGAGGACAGCACAGACAGCACATTCTCATCACAGAAAGTTCTATTAGCTAGCACTGGGTCAGAGTATACAGAAACAGTCTCAAATACATATGGGAATTTGTATTTGACACAAAATTGTTTGTGATAAAGGTGGCATTTCAAATCAGTGGGGAAAGAATCATTGAGTAAACAGTGTTGGGACAATCTGCTAGCCTGGGGGAGAATGAGTGGGGAGTGAGGGAGTAAAGGTAAATCCAGATCTCAACTCTTATTCAAAACAAATTCTGAGTGAACCAAAGATTTATACTTAAAAGCTGAAATGATAAAAGTACTAACACATAAGTCTAATTATTAAGAAAGGGCTTTCCAAACACAATAAAACCCCAGGAGGACAAAAGCAGAAGACTGATTTTTTTTTTTAATTTAAGAAAATACAAACTTGTAGATGAATAAAGCCCAGACAAACTGAAAGTGGAGGGAGGTGTGGAGTGTTCCATTTTCTTAATCTATTAAAAAATATAACTCAGTGGGGAAAAGGTAAATTGAAAGTGCCAATATACACATGAAAAAATTGCTCAATTTCATTCATAATTTAAACATTCTATTAAAAATTGCATTTTCAACTATCAGATGGCAAAGAGAATCCCCAGTGTTAAATGAGAGTGTGAGAAAACAGGCACTAATGGATATAAAACCTGATACAACTCATTCAGGAGGTAATTTTCAAATATTTATCAAAAATGAAAAGCAACAAATAATATTTATGGGTAAAATGATATTGAGTCTAGGACTGACTTTAAAATAACCTGAGTGAAAAACTTACCTGAGAAGGTTGGTGTAGATATAAATAAAACAAAATTAGGCATAAACTGATAGTAGCTGCAGCAGGATGGTAGGTGTGTAGGGGATTCATACTACTCTAGCTTTGAGTATGTTTGAATTTTTCCAAAAAGGTTTTCCTACTAATGCACACCCTTTAACCCAGGTATTCCATTTCTAGGTATTTAGTCTATAGTTACATTGGACAAGCACACAACAAGGTAAGTACAAGGATGTTCTCTGAGGCAATAAAAGCAAAGACCCGGAAACAACCTAAATTTCCATTAGAGAACTGGTTGAATACATTATTTATCTAAACACAGTAATGTCATATACCTTTAAAAAGTATGGAGGTAAATTATATGAGAGATATTACAGAAAAGGGGAAAAGTATCAAGAGCAGAACAACAGACACAGTTTGACTGCATTTAGTAAAAACAAAATCACATGTGGATTTGTGATGGCACATGAGATACATGCCCATATTCACAACGAATTCTAGAAGGATATGTGAGAACCTTAATGGTGGTTACATCTGGCTGGGCAGGAGATGGGGGACTAGAAATCTGTGAGGAGGAAACATTTATTTTTTTCAAACATTTTTATACTATGAATTTTTTTTGCATGTGAACATATTGCATTCATTACACTTATATTAATAAAAAGAACTAGACTTTTTAAATCCTTCTTCTATTGAGATGATTGTCATTCATTTAGGATCCATCAGTGTTTAGGGTCAGCACTAGGAGGAGCTTGTCTCAAAGCACATTTAAGTTTTACAGAGCAGAACAGACGAGCCGTGGTTCCTTTACTGCTGACCTAGCTCAGGGCTCTTATTGAACCCGTATCTCAGCCCTGATGACCGATCTGAAAATCTATCACTACAGCAAATAATTGCTCTAAAGATGTAAGTAAGATCCTTCCTTGGTGTTAATCAAACATTAATGATATTTATTGAATATGTATGTGCCCGGTCCTGTGGGAGATACAAAGGAAAAGGATTATAGTCTTGCTCAAGAAATTCATAATCTCACAGAATAGAAAACATGCACGCGAGGAGCAGAGAATGATTAATGCCGTGCACACACATTATGTGCTGAGAAAAGGAGAAGTCAGTGTGGGTAGGTAGAGTCAAGGTTCATGATAGAAATGAGAGAGCAGACTTGATTTTAACAGATGAGCTGGATTTAGATACACAGCGGGGAGAAAATTACATAAAACTGCCTGAAAGAGTGCACAGAAGAAACTGAGATAGTGAGATTCAGTATGACTAGAGATGGGGGATAGGAAAAAGTATAAAATAAGTAATTAGTAGGAGTAAAGTTCAAGGTGATATATATTTTTAAAAACAAGCAAAAATTGGGCTTCCCTGGTGGCACAGTGGTTGAGAGTCCACCTGCTGATGCAGGGCACATGGGTTTGTGCCCCGGTCTGGGAAGATCCCACATGCCTCGAAGTGGCTGGACCCGTGAGCCATGGCCGCTGAACTTGCGCGTCCAGAGCCTGTGCTCCGCAACCAGAGAGGCCACAACAGTGAGAGGCCCGCGTACCGCCAAAAAAAAAAAAACAAGCAAAAATTAAGATTTTATAAAAGAGGCAAAGGAGAGTTTTAACAAGTATTTGACAGCAACAGTGTGCAAGGCAGAGTAAATTTGCATTCTTTGCTTCCTTTAGGCTTACTTTTTTGACATGAAAAATAAAATAACAAACAAACGTTATTTCAATACCTCACTTCCAGACCCGGATTCTAGTGGTCTCTTCTTCCTTGGTCCAATAGCTGCAAGAGCTGTGAGATTAGCATCTCTATGCTGTATCTGCGCAAGCTCCAACTGTTGTAACTAGAAGATGGAATAAAAAAAAGAAAAAAATCAACGCTTACACACAGTGATGCTCAAAGGGGGAAAGAAATTGATCACTAAGCCCACTTCTCTGTTCTTTACCAAATACGTGACAGTGTAAAATAAATATCAGATTTCCCTAACAGTCAACGGTACATCATTTCTTGATTCCTTTCCTCTAGCAAACTCTTTATTCCTGAATCTCTAAATAGAAGAGGCAGAATTTAGGTAAAGAAGAAGTATGGAATAGAAGAAAAAGAAGAAAAGAAGCACCCCTAGAGCTTAAGCTCTCCTTAGTTTAAGCACAGGTTAAGAAATGCCTGAAGAATAAGTTGAACGGTAAATTGGAGGGAAAGTGGCCAAAATATAGTCAAACTTTTTGGAATAAGAGAGAATTACAGTTGGCCCTTGAACAACAAATGTGGGGGGTAGAGGCGCAGACCCTCTATGCAGTAGAAAGTTCACATGTAACTTATCGTTGGCTCCCACATCCGAGATTCCTCCATATCCACGTATCTGCATCCATTAATTCAACCAACTGCGAATCGTGTAGCACTGTAGTAGGTACTTAGTGAACAAAACATGCATAAAAGTGAACCCACGCAATTCAAACCTGTGTTGTTCAAAGGTCAACGGTACTTAAAAATAGTTTCTGTATATTATAGGAAACAGTTCTATGCTGTATGATTTACAAAGCACTCCCTTAAAATTAACTCAGTTAACTCTTACAACGACACTGAAAGGTATATATTAATTGCTACAATAACATGAAAATTATACATATACTTTTTTTTAATAATTAAGGGAGAAAGTATGGTTTTAAGAAATTGGGAAAACTTCATAAAGGTCACACAAATAATAAGTGGTAGAAACAGAACGCAGAGCCAAGTGTTCTCATTATAAACCTTTTCAATATATCACACTTTCTTATGGATTTACTCTGTATCTATCTTCATGTCAACAATTGAAAGTGAGTTAGTATTGTTCTGTTGTACAGCTTTCATTATGCCTAACCCAAATGACCAAATCTACAAGGTATAATTTTTTAGTATTTGGGCACTAAACTATTCAGGGGCACCCATCAAAGATGCCTCATTAAGGTAGATAAATTTAAGATATTAAAACTGGGAAATAAATGCATGAAACATAGCATCATTTCACCAAGGCAAGTAAGTGTCAAATGGTATTCTTTAAAAAAAACAAGGTGAAGAAGTCAAAATAAAATATCACTACACAGGTTCTTAAGTTTTTCTGGAAAAGGAAGCAGGTTTAATTCCCACCGAAATCTTATTAGTGTGGAGAAGAAGGAAGGAAGAACCTGGCACTGGTTGCTAGATAAATATTCAAACAAGATCAGACTCCAAGATAGTCAACTGAAAGTAACCTACTGGGGAACCATAAAGGTATCCTGAGAATATTTTTCTAAAAGAACACTAACTAAATTTTTAACATTAAAAAAAAAAAGCCTAGATGAAAGAAGCAAACAATTTATGATGAAATAGGCAGTCTCAGAGAGACACAAAGATCACTTCAAATTATTTTCTAATATCAGAGGAAAGACAAAGAATAAGCCATAGGTAACTGAATCCAGCAAAGCAGAAAACACTTAACTAAAGAAAATGAACTAGGAACCATTTTCCATTTGTTCCCCAAATAACAGAGCAGAAATCCTTCATTTAAATTGTATATTTACTTATATATAAACTGCTAGAAAACTATTTTCAGGAGTTATAAACCATCTTTTGTTAATGCTGGCCTTTTAAATAAAATATACAGTTTTAGAGTCTGATGCTGTCACAACATAGAACTTGTAGGTGACAAAATATAATTTTAATTAATCTACCCTGCAGCACAAATCAAACAACAAGCGATATTTTAGTCCTTCCCTGTAGAGAAATGGCATCTGCACGATAGTCACACCAAATAAATAGTTTTAAAATTGACCTCTGTCATCAAATTCCACTACCTATATAGGAAAACATTTTCTCTCACTCTGCAAATTACACTTTGGTTTTCAGAAATCTCACAGACGTTTAAGAAAATTTTGCAAAACTCTTAACAAAAATGGAAACTGACAATAGGTTGGTTGTATTTACAATGAACTACCTTAAAACCAATGTATTTTGGAGCTTCCCTGGTGGTGCAGTGGTTGAGACTCCACCTGCCGATGCAGGGGACATGGGTTCGTGCCCCGGTCCGGGAAGATCCCACATGCCATGTAGCGGCTGGGCCCGTGAGCCATGGCCGCTGAGCCTGCGCGTCCGGAGCCTATGCTCCACAATGGAAGAGGCCACAACAGTGACAGGCCCGTGTACCACCAAAAAACAAACAAAAAAAACCAATGTATTTTGGCCAGCACAATATAGAAAAACTATGGACTTTTTTTTTAACATCTTTATTGGAGTATAATTGCTTTACAATGGTTTGTTAGTTTCTGCTTTATAACAAAGTGAATCAGTTATACATATACATATGTTCCCATATCTCTTCCCTCTTGCATCTCCCTCCCTCCCACCCTCCCTATTCCACCCCTCTAGGTGGTCACAAAGCACCGAGGTGATCTCCCTGTGCCATGCGGCTGCTTCCCACTAGCTATCTATTTTATATTTGGTAGTATATGTAAATCCATGCCACTTTCTCACTTCGTCCCAGCTTCCCCTTCCCCCTCCCCGTGTGCTCCAGTCCATTCTCTATGTCTGCATCTTTATTCCTGTCCTGACCTTAGGTTCTTCAGAACCTTTTTTTCTTAGATGCCATATAAATGTGTTAGCATACGGTATTTTTCTCTTTCTGACTTACTTCACTGTGTATGACAGACTCTAGGTCCATCTACCTCACTACAAATAACTCAGTTTCGTTTCTTTTTATGGCTGAGTAATATTCCATTGTATATATGTGCCACTTCTTCTTTACCCATTCATCTGTAGATGGACACTTAGGTTGCTTCCATGTCCTGGCTAATGTAAACAGAGATGCAATGAACATTGTGTTACATGACTCTTTTTGAATTATGGTTTTCTCTGCGTATATGCCCAGTAGTGGGATTGCTGGGTCATACGGTAGTTCTATTTTTAGTTTTTTAAGGAACCTCCATACTGTTCTCCATGGTGGATGTATCAATTTACATTCCCACCAACAGTGCAAGAGGGTCCCCTTTTCTCCACATCCTCTCCATCATTGTTTGTAGATTTTTTGATGATGGCCATTCTGACTGGTGTGAGGTGATACCTCACTGTAGTTTTGATTTGCATTTCTCTAATATTTAGTGATGTAGAGCACTCTTTCATGTGTTCGTTGGGAATCTGTATATCTTCTTTAGAGAAATGTCTATTTAGGTCTTCTGCCCATTTTTGAATTGGGTTGTTTGTTTTTTTGATATTGAGCTGCATGACCTGCTTGTAAATTTTGGAGATTAATCCTTTGTCAGTTGCTTCGTTTGCAAATATTTTATCCCATTCTGAGGGTTGCTTTTCGTCTTGTTTATGGTTTCCTTTGCTGAGCAAAAGCTTTTAAGTTTCATTAGGTCCCATTTGTTTATTTATTTTTTTATTTCCATTTCTCTAGGAGGTGGGTCAAAAAGGATCTTGCTGTGATTTATGTCATAGAGTGTTCTGCCTATGTTTTCCTCTATGAGTTTTAGTGTCTGCCCTTTCATTAGGTCTTTAATCCATTTTGAGTTTATTTTTGTGTATGGTGTTAGGGAGTGTTCTAATTTCATTCTTTTACAGGTAGCTGTCCAGTTTTCCCAGCACCACTTATTGAAGGGGCTGTCTTTTCTCCATTGTATATTCTTGATCCTTCATCAAAAATAAGGTGACCACGAGATTGCTTCAAGATGGCAGAGTAGAAGGACGTGCTCTTACTTCCTCTTGTGAGAGCACTGGAATCACAACTAACTTCTGAACAATCATCGACAGGAAGACACTGGAACTCACCAAAAAAGATACCCCATAGCCAAAGACAAAGGAGAAGCCACAATGAGATGGTAGGAAGGGCGCAATCACAATAAAATCAAATCCCATAACTGCTGCATGGGTGACTCACAAATTGGAGAACACTTATACCACAGAAGTCCACCCACTGCAGTGAAGGTTCTGAGCCCCACGTCAGGCTTCCCAACCTGGGGGTCTGGCAACAGGAGGAGGAATTCCTAGAGAATCAGACTTTGAAGGCTAGTGGGATTTGACAGCAGGACTTCGACAGGACTGGGAGAAACAGACTAGACTCTAGGAGGGCACACACAAAGTACTGTGGGAATCAGGACACAGGGGAAGGATCAGTGACCCCATAGGAGACTGAACCAGAACTACCTACTAGTGTTGGAGGATCTCCTTCAGAAGTGGGGGGTGGTTGTGTCTCACCGTGAGGACAAGGACACTGGCAGCAGAAGTTCTGGGAAGTACTCCTTGGTGTGAGCCTTCCCAGAGTCCGCCATTAGTCCCACCAAAGAGCCCTGGTAGGCCCCAGTGTTGGGTCACAGCAGGCCAAACAACCAACAGGGAGGGAACCCAGCCCCACCTATCAGCAGTCAAGAGGATTAGTTTTACTGAGATCTGCCCACCAGAGCAACAGCCAGTTCTACCCACCAACAGTCCCTCCCACCAGGAAACTTGCACAAGCCTCTTAGACAGCCTCATCCACCAGAGGGAAGACAGCAGAAGCAGGATGAACTACAATCCACCCTGTAGAACAAAAACCACATTCAAAGAAAGCTAGACAAGATGAAAAGGCAGAGGGCTATGTACCAGATGAAGGAACAAGATAAAGCCCCAGAAAAACAACTAAATGAAGTGGAGATAGGCAACCTTCCAAAAAATAATTCAGAATAATGACACTTAAGATGACCCAGGACCTCGGGAAAAGAATGGAGGCAAAAATCGAGAAGATGCAAGAAATGTTTAACAAAGACCTAGAAAAATTAAAGAACAAGCAGAGATGAACAGTACAATAAGTGAAATGAAAAATACACTAGAAGGAATCAATATCAGAATAACTGAGGC